TCGTTAAGTGGTCAGAGAGTTAATTCTTGTCAATAGATTCATCATCTTCTGAGAGGTTTTGCTAAGGTTGGGTAGGGTATCTATTTCAAGGCTAATGTTTGCGGTCACCCTTTAGTTGGTTCCCAGTGAGGGATATTTTTATGGCGCGCCTACAAGTCGTTATGTGTCTGGAGAATTGTCTTTTATTATTGTCCATCTGATTATCTATTTATTTATTTGTTTATTCAAGTGGGTGTTTTATATACATATCGTATTGCACTGAATTTCAATTTGTTCTATTTTTGTTTTTGACGACTACAAAAAGGGTTTTTCCTATTTAATGATTTGGCTAAGCTTTTAAGTCTTTTATTTAGGTATGGGATTTTTTTATGCTAATTATTTAATGCGAAAGTTTGTTGATGTCGGCAAAAAACCGTTAACTCCTGCCTATGGTTTAATATTTTTCATTGTTTAGAAATTTAATGATGTGTAGTTTTTCCTGTAGGCATAAAGGGCATGGGTCATCCCAGGTTTTACAAGTTCTTGTTTTATTTACTATTTTCCATTTTACTTTTGTTGTTTTATCCGTTTCTTTTAGATGTCAGAAATATTGGGATAGAGATGTCTGATTTCTATTTTGAATATTGTTGAAGGAACTTTTGTGTTGCCTCCATCTAATTTTAAAATTATTCTTCGTTGAGCCTATGTATATCCTATCAGTGTTAGGACTCTCAATGGATGAGATAGTGCATTGGTATACCACAGATTTTGTGAGGCATTTATTTTCCAACGGGCAGTTTTTAGGGTTTCTACAATCACATAATTTTTCGTTATTTTTATCTAATTTTAGTTTATGAGTTTTATTACAGTTTTGGTATGCGTGTTTTTCTAGGATTTTCTTAATATGTCTTTTTATGATTCTTTCTATATTTTCAGTGCAGTTGTAACTCAATTTCAAGGTGTTTTTGTTAAAGATGTCGCTAAGTTTGCTATTAGTGGGAAAGTGCTTTTCAATTAAAGCTAGGAACTTATGGCCTAGTGCTGACCACTTGGTTGTGCGGAGGGGTATACCAGATGATCTTTCTTTTCCTGTTTTTCTTTTTATTATTGGTACTATCGTTTCTATAGGTTATGTCAGCGTTTTTGTATCCGCTATTTTTGAATTACATATTTTTCTCTATTTCATACATTTTTAAAGAGTTATTTTTCTATATTTCATATCCTATTTATTTTTTTCTCTATATATTTTTTATATTTTATATTTTTATTCTTCTTTCTTTTTTTAAAATCTGATATGTCATGTGCATTCAATTATATTGATGAATTAAATTCACTTTTATTTACCTGTTCCATGGTGCTGTTTTTTGTATTTTTTTAGTTTTTGTCCTGAGTTATTTGTTATTGATGTTTCCCTCTGTAAAAGAACTCTATACTCTATCTTAATTTTATTATTTAATTAATATTTAACCTGTATAATCGATTATAATTTAATCTATAATTATTCTTTTAATATATATGATTCTAACTAATCCATTATATTTTAATCCATAATTAAACTATATAATCTTTAAATTTAATCTAAATTTTAATCTATAATTTTACCTTTTATTAATTTAATCTATAATTATTCTTTTAATATATATGATTCTATCTAATCCATTATATTTTAATCCATAATTAAACTATATAATCTTTTAAATTTAATCTAAATTTTAATCTATAATTTTACCTTTTATTAATTTAATCTATAATTATTCTTTTAATATATATGATTCTATCTAATCCATTATATTTTAATCCATAATTAAACTATATAATCTTTAAATTTAATCTAAATTTTAATCTATAATTTTACCTTTTATTAATGTATTTTTAAAAATCCTTTATATTGTAAAATATTCTTTTGGGTTATTACTTATCTATCTATTTTAATTCTTCCTTTATTTACTTATTAATTTTAATATTCAGCTTTTTTTTTTTTTTTATATACTAATATATTTTTTATTATAATATTAAATTCATTTTTATAATATTAAAATTAAATAATAGTATTAATATTAAATTCTAAAATTTCTTTAATCTACAACAAAAAAAATTCTTCCTTAACTTTTAAGATTGTATTTCTTTATGTAATGTTTTCCTATTTGAAAAAGAGTTTACATTCTAAATATAGGTCACTAGCAGCATGGCCCGGCGTTGCCCGTGCTTGATTCAAAAATCGTACGACTCATACAGCAATCGCTATCACTTGACTTAAAATATTTTTGCCATTCCTTGCCTTTAAAGGAGTGTCCTTTGCTGTGCTGATGTTGCTACATGTCTTACTTCTTGCCTATCTTACACTGCGGATTTTTTCTAAGCTCTATACTAAACATTAAATCTGTTACGAAAAAAGAACTAAACAAAATGAACACAAAACGATCAGCTTTAAAAAAGGACTCGTAACTGGAAAAACCGAATGAAAAAAGGATGTTAGCAACAAATACTTTTTCACACCCAACCCAGTTCTGCGGAATCAGAATCAACGTTGAATTTAAGCAAGCGAATGAGACAATTGGAGTAAAGTGCCATGACGATTTAAATTTTTCTCACTTGTGACAAATGCAACTTGATTTTTTTTTAATGCTAGCATGCTAGTTAACATTCGTGTCAGTCAGCTGTTGGCTCTCACGCTGGCCAATAGAATCTTCCTGCCTATTTGTGGCAGCCAGCTATAGGCTCTCACTGTGGCCAGTAGAAAATGACCGCAAACTACATGAAAATTGCTGTAGATGCATGAAAAAATCGATTATTTCCACTATCGATGGGAGTTGGGAAATGCAAAGTCGGTTTTGGCCTTCCCGCTAACTTGGAGCATGTGCATGTAAATTTTTGTGCAAATCCGTCGAAAATTGCGGTCGTGCATTCACACACACACACACACACACACACACACACACACACACACACACACACACACACATCCTGCCTTTTATAGATAGAGATTTGGTAATCGTCAACCATTTTTAACTTTTGCCTAGACTTGTATATGTATCTGTTTTGTTATTCCCCCTCACGACTTTGATTTTTTCCTTCACCTTTTTTTCTATCTCCCTCTTAAATACATTTTCGCTTACTTGCAGTTTTTCCTCTATATTTTCCCCTCTTTCTTCCTATCTTTTTTTTTTTTTAATTTTCAATTAAAAAAAGACCTTACGATTCATTTTTTATCAAACATTTTAGCATTGACATACTCCAGGGAATTTCCCTAAGAGATAAATCTCTCGAGGAGCGAAATAGCCATACAAATGGGGTACAATTGCGTTTCATTTTTATGTAATTCTTTTCTATGCTCTATAATAAATATATTGAGTTCTCTTTTGTGGATCAGTTTTAATATTTTATATTATTAGGATTCACTTGGATTACTTACCAACGGATTTTTACCTGTACATAAAGGCAGCAGTTATTTTGTTTTGATTAATTTTACTGATTGACTTTTTCAAATAATCTTTCACAGATAAGATGGAATTAAAATGTCGAATCTCTCAAAACAGTTATTATAAAAACAATACTTCATTTTCAAACAACCCAAACTTACTTTCCCTGATGATGACTTAAGTAAGTCCAAAATATGGCCCATATTTCTTCAGAAATAAGCATCGGACCATTTCTGACGAAATTCGGAACAAAATGTCTGTTGTCTTTAATAACATTTGGCATATAGTACATTTGCTACATATATATATATATATATATATATATATATATATATATATTTGTTTGTGTGTATATATATATATATATATGTAAATAAAAATATAAATAATAAAAGTAAAAATATATATATAAATAAATGTATATAAATATATAAATAAATAAATAATATATATATATATATATATATATATATATATATATATATATATATATATATATATACTAGAATAAATCCTAAAGAACCAAACTCAAACCTACCTAGACGGATCTTCAGGGTAAGGAGCCAGTTTACTCTGAAGATGCGTTTAGGTGAAACCTAGGTAGGTTCGCCTGGCTCTTTAGGATTTATTCTAGTTTATTGCTCTTAGCGTTTTAGTCTTTCTATTCCTTTGTTTGTTTGTTTTTTTTTTTTTTGGGGGGTTGTTTGAACTAAGAGACTTAAAGCACACTTAAATCGATTTGTTTTCATGTTTTTAGTTCTTTTTTTTTATTTGCAATTTTTTCTTCGGGTACCGATTTGTCCCCAACATATCTGCAAGTTGAACTATCCGAGGTTTTCCAAATGTGTACTACTATTAATATATATATATATATATATATATATATATATATATATATATATATATATATATATTTGACAATTTATGTACATATTACTGTGTTATCAACGATAGAAAAGAAGCTTAAAACAGGAAATAAATAAACATTAATATTACCTGCCGAGGTTTTTTATTAATCGAATACAAAGGCAGAAAAAAGACTTAAACACAAATAATATAAAATTTACTATCCTGAGTTTACTTAAATATGCAGCTATATATAAGAAATGTAAGACCGTATCACCAAAACACGCTGCTGTTGTCGGCTGCATGAAAGACTTCTAAATAACGTGCAGCGCTCACCTCATAGCCACTCAATCAACTAATTGCGGTTTATTAATAAAAGCACTGGAACATGAGAGTTCTTGAATTAAAAGAAGTCATACTGTACTTGAAAATAGGGAAAATATTTTTAAATTGGCCAAGTCGTTCATGCTCATCTTCAAGAACTGGTTCCAACCATATGGTGGGGAATATACGCGTTACCCGTAACCAAAAGGATGGAATATTTTAGAGTTATTGCAGATGATTAGACAACGGTTACATTTTTTTTAACTACGGTACCTTTCTTAATCATTTTATTAACAACACTAAGAAATTGATCCGTTAATTTGAGAGGTTTAAAATAAAATAGACACAATATGTCTAGATTATTCAACCAAACATGCTTAAATGAAGATATGCCGCTTAACTCATACAACACTTACACACACACACACACACATAGATAGATAGATAGATAGATAGATAGATAGATAGATAGATAGATAGATAGATAGATAGATGCAGTCACTCGCAGAGCTATTACTTAAAAGGTATTTTTTAAGAAAATGTAATTTTTATAATGTGTTTCCAAATCTAAATTTGAGTTGAACAGAATAAATATCGATAATATTATGGTATTGATTGTAGGAGAAATAAGAAAATTTTAGTCAGTGCACAAATCTCTTGGGAAATTTGACAAAAACGTACAAACCAAACGTATTGGGCACACATTAATAAATTGTATTCAACTGTCCTTTAGTTTCTTTGATTCCAATCAGACTTTAAGTATAATTTAAAATAAGTTTTTCGCAGATATTAGATCCAGTTTTAATAAATTCATGAGTCCAAATCACTATAAACCTTATTTGTATACTTCTGGTGATCGCTAATTTATACTTATTCCAAAGATTGTTAAAGGATTTAGTTCGCTTTTGTGGATAGCTGATATTTTCAATTTCTTTGTGCTTCTTGTGTTGTTCATTTTTGTAGACTAGTTTAATGTAGATGTTTATATTGTTATTATTTGAATTATTTTTCTAAGCTTAGTTTAGTTATTTTATTTATTAAAATAATTAATTTTATAATTTATTTATGTGGCTGCAAAGATTATTAATAATAAATATCACTTTCTTATTTTTGAGTTCATTTTAAAATCTGTATAATGCTCGAGAGGTATTTGAAGGTCGGGCCATAAATGAAGACGACCCAACATAATGTTGCGCAGCATGCGCTAATTTTTAAAAATCTCATTTCTCTTTAAACAGTATAGTGGGCATTAGCATAGCAGCTTTTTTTCTAACCCAGAAAATCAAAAAGTATACTGTGATCATGTCGCTAACAGACAAATATAGCTACAGTCTGAATTCGTTAATCCGGCAACTTTGGGACCAGTCCAATGCCGGAAAACAGAAAATCCGGGATGACAGAATCACACCTAAAAAAATGCAGAGAATTAAACAATCATTAATAGTACCAAACAATATTTTTGTTCATTTATAGAATACAAAGAATAAAAAAAGACTTAAACAAAAATAATATCAACTTACTATCCTGAATGGGCAAATATGCAACTATATATAAGAAATGTGTAAGACCGTATCACCAAAACACGCTGCTGTTGTCGACTGCTGTGAAAACTTCTAAATAACGTGCAGTGTTCACCTCATAGCCACTCAATGAACTAATTGCGGTTTACTAATAAAAGCACTGGAGCATGAAAGTTGTTGAATTAAAAGAGGTTGTACTGTACTTGAAAATAGGGAAAATATTTTCAAGTGGCAAATTCTTTCATGCTCATCTTCAAGAACTGGTTCCAACCATGTGTTATGCGATATACGCGTTACCCTTGACCAAAAGAATGAAATATTTTAAGGACAGACAAGTTCTTCTCGTAAGCTTGGGTATTAACAACCACAACTACAAGTCAATGAGGACATCGCCAAGCAAACAAAGTCCATTATCAGACGTTGGGTGCACAAAAATAACAGTTACAGAGGTGGCTATACGCATTACAACTGATCTCTTCTCCTTCTCACGTGGCCCTCTTGATCCAAGAAGTTTCACTATCATGACAACCCCAACATCTCAATAGAACTTTCCTGATTTGAATATCAAGGCCGACGGGAAGGAAAACAAACACCAACCTAAATTATCACGCACACGTTGAAAACCGCCATTATGGAAGTAATGACCATTATTAACAAAAGAACATTGAGATTGTCCCTGAGGGTTAGCACGTTTTTTATTGAATAAACATTTTCTGTTTCCAAATTAATTATATGTATATTTTAAAAAAAAAAAACTCCTTAATTTTTGTTAATTATCTTTGTACTTTTCTAACCTGTTCTCATTTAACAGTGCACACATGCCCATCTCTCTCTCTCTCTCTCGCTCTCTCCCCCCCTCTCTCTCTCTCTTTATACATATATATATATATATATATATATATATATATATATATATATATATAGGTACATGGCCATGAGACCCGGGCTCGAATCTCACCATGCTCGATTTGTCGAGAAGGAAATTTGCTGATGTTATCGGACTGAAGCTGTCGATCCCAGCGTGCAGTGCCTGAAAAACTGAATACCATGCACGAGTTGACCCGAGCCTTGTCAGTGAAATTGGGTAGGCTATTGACTAACACGAAATCACAAGTCATCGTGGCCGAGGCTTCAGCGTAATGTCCTTGTTCAAATTGTTGATCACATAACTGTAACTGTCTTCATATAAATCGCATTAAACACAAATGCGCCTGGGCAGGCATCTGCAATAGGGATTGGCTAGCCGCTCTAGTAGACGGGTATCTTCGAATACAGTGACTAGCTATTATATATATATATATATATATATATATATATATATATATATATATATATATATATATATATATATATATAGATAGATAGATAGATAGATCGATATACGTATGTGATTATTTCTCCTTTCTTGTCTTTGTTCTCTCTTTTTCCCCAACTATATTTCTCTCGTAAGCCGAAAGCCATACAAATAGCATCTTTGAATGAATGCAGTGTTTGATCAAAGCTTTTGGCAACAAAACGATTCTCTAGAGAAAAGTATATTTCCATGGTCGAAAACTGAAGCCAGAACGAAAAGGAAAACAAAGAGAGAAAAAAAAGATGTCTAAGAAGGTGGCCAAAGTAGTGTGGGTGGATGGAGGATTGGTTTGATGTGACGGGAAACTTATCTTGAGAGACGCACATCGATTGAAAGGTTTTTCTAAAAAGGGCGGAGGCCTGATCAGTTTTGGTTCGTTTGATAATGAAGGCTTTAAGCGGGAAAATGAAGACAGAAGCGGATAGACAGGAGAAAGTGACCGGTTGAAAGATGACCGAAGTAGAAAGGAGAAAAAAGTAATTCTTAATAAAATATAACGAAATGGAAGAAAAATGAACTAGCTTTAAAAAAAAAAAAACTTTCCTTTAAAGGGTAGACATTTTGCACCCTGGTTCTGCCTCTTTCACTGCTACTTTCTTCAAATCTCTCTCTCTCTCTCTCTCTCTTTCTTTCTCTCTCTCTTTCTTTCTCTTTCTCTCTCTCTCTTTCTCTTTCTCTCTCTCTCTTTCTCTCTCTCTCTCTCTCTCTCTCTTTCACCAATACCCTTTCGCTCAATCACACTTTGCCTCTCTGTCTCTCACACACTCCCTCACACTCATATGTTTATTTAATTCTCTTTACCTTCACTCTCTATATCCTCCTCTCTCTCTATCTCTAAATCTATCTTACACTCTTTCCGATTCTCTTTCTGACTCACACGCATACCCTCACTCGCATACTCTCACTCTGATTCACTTTCTATTTCACTCATTCTCTCTCTCACTCACTCACTAATTCACACACTACACTCTCTACATCACCACAACATATTCCCACTTTTAAATCACTCTCTCTACCAATGTCACTAACTCTCTCTTTCACTTTATCTCACTCTTCCTCAATTACTCACTCTCTATCTCGTCACCGAAGTTAAGCAACATCGAACCAAGTCAGTACCTACATGGGTGACATTATGGGAATACCAAGTTCTGCAAGCTTAGATGTGTGGGTGGTGTAATGGATAATGGCTCTGAATTGGAAATGGAGAGCTGATTTCCAATTTCAGTTGGCTTTATTTTATTCACTGGTGCGCAAATACTCTTTGGAAAAGTAAAAATCTACCTCCCCATTTATGGGTTAATTAGTAAGGCTATCACTAAACCATTATTATCTCAAAAGAAAATTCTTACAATCTAAAAAATATTTTCTGGCTTTAAATAACCTGCAAATAAATTGATAAGCCGTAGAAAATTACGTCGTTCGGACTGTTGTCCTCATCTTTATTACCATATTAACAATGGTTCGGCTGTTTTCTGCAAATACGCATATCCAAGTGGATAAAAGTGTTGGTTGGTCCAAAAAGGTGAGTTTATTCAAAGAGTTGTGAGTTCAATACGTGGCTACAACAGAAGGAACAAAAATTTGGAAAGTTGAGTTACTAAAGTGAATTAGCTGAGATATTCAAAAAAGGCATGGCACGTGGAATTAGAACACTACACTAGTGGACTAAATAAAGGTTTCTGTTCGAAATTCCAATGTATATCAACTGAAGAAAGCCGGAGCTTACAACGACCGAAACATCGCGAATTTGACAATAAAGATGAGGGCAACAGTTCGAATTATATAAATAGTGTAAATAGTTACAGTATTTCATCTCAGAGATATAGACAGATCCTGAAGAAGGCCAAAGCACCAGTGGTCTAAATAAAGGTTTCGTTTCCAAATTCCAACGTATATTAAATGAAGAAGGCTGAACCGTACAACAACCGAAATATGGTATTAAAGATGGGGATAATAGTCCGAATGATGCAAATTGTGTAAATAGTTACAATATTTAAATAATTAAATTTATTTATAGCAGTGCTATACGATTAATCTAGATTTTGGGAGGGCACGCATAAGACGCATGTAGTACAGTCAAACGACTGTACTGCATGCGTCTTATGCTACTACCCTTTATGAGCGAATAGCAATAATTCAAAGGAGATGGTAGACACTATGTACCAGGTTAATTATATTTTTATGGTTGAATTCCTCGAATGTTTGGGTGCCATTTTGTTTGTATCCAAGTTAGAAAGATATAAGTTATAAACCTGAAACAATTTAACCTGTTCAAATTGGTTCCGTACCGGCGTTGATGTTACTTTTAGTTCTTACTTCCATCTCAACTACACCCCCCCCTTTCTTCGCATTCTTTTCGCCCAAATGACCCACAGTTGATATTGTCAGGTGCTTCCTCCCTGACTGATCACGTAGTCTGAACACGTCGCAACACCTGACTCGACACCGTCTTTCCACACTTTGCTTTCTCTTTTCTGAAATGCAGCGCTATATTTACGTCTGACAAACAAGCAAAGCTGAAAGACTGAGGCGTAAGCGGCAGACACCATGGCGAACGGATTAATCAATAAAAAAAAAAAAAATTTAAAAAAAAAAAATTTAAAAAAAAAAGAAAAAATTCCACAGAAATTTTATTAAATCGGTGTAAATGTTTCCAGCATTTTTAACAAGTTAATTAGTCGGACGTTTCCGTTCGCTCTTGGTTTTTACATTCACAACGTTTCGACCTTGTATCCTGCGGCCCTCTTCTTCTATCAGTTAATTCTCTCTAGTATACTCGTCTTTTTGTTGATTGGCCGTCTCTTCCTCTGAATAAGAATACCGTATATATTCAAGTATAGTACGAATTTTGCGGTCAGTTTTTTTTTTTTTTTTACACAAAAATAGGGGGTTACCCATTAAGCCAACTCGATTTTGGAACAGTGGTATTGCACTCAGTCTAACAGTTGGAATTTGAAATAATAAATAATGTCACAAAATATTTATTTCCAACTGATTACCATTTTGGGAGGAAACGAGTTTAAATATTAAGTTTAAGCTCAAAATGGTAGCGTTGGAATTTCATTCCGGTCATCGGGGAAAGATTTATAATACAGTAGTTTTAGTGTGATTTTCCACAAACCATGCAAATTTAAAAGAATTTGGCCTTAAAATGTGTGCCCAACAGTATTATGGTGTTATATACAATATTATCGATTTCTTTTTTTTTGTTTGTTTATATTGATTATGATCGAAGAAATTATCTAACAAATCTTATTCATTGAGTAGCCTTTTTTGTAATCATTTTACAGTTTTTATTTATCGAATACAGTAAAAAAAAAATAGCATATTTTGCTTGTGGTAATTCATAATTAAAATTCTGGTTTGAATATATTTTCCATTCAATGTTTCTAATACAAAAGATTACTTGGATTTATTGTTGAATTAGTAAAACTTTGAAGTCAGTTTATAAGCAAAAGTCTGCGAAAATTAGGTATATCGGCACATTTTCCATACGATATTTTATTGGTAAAAGCAATGAATCTAATTTTTGTTGACAGTATTTATCACATCAAATTCCAGCTTTTCCATCCCCTGCAATCTTGATTTTCTAAAGAAAGTAAAAAATCAACCTACACTAATACAGATGTGGATTCTTGAAGAGGTTAAAAATCATGCGTTTTCGGTGACAGGTTGCATTATACATAGGTACGTTTTTCCTTGGGGGGGATTCATGCATTTTCGTTGAACCTAATCTAATTGGCAGGCCTACATTTTTACGGTAGCTTTTGATAACCTTAATCTTCGTATCAGACATTATACTGTAAGTGATAATATATATATATATATTTATATATATATATATATATATATATATATATATATATATATACGTTGTGTGAAAGAGAGAGAGAGAGATTCTTTGTCTATAATGTGTGTGCTTGTGCCTACATAGAGGGAGGGAGAGAGAAAGAGATAGAAGAAGGAAGAAGTAAGTTAAATGTGAAAATCTAAGGAATATGAAATTGACTGTCATACCCATGATACCAAGAGAACATTAATGAGTTCTTTAATAAAGCCGCCTATTAATGAGGAATTAGAAAGAAGAAAGGTTGGGGGTAGCTTAATGCAAAAAAAGAATGAAGACTATTTATTTGCTATAAAATATGTCCAGGATGTTGTACAGTATTGCATTATTTGACTAGGGTAGACCTATTAGTATTGTTCGGAAGATGGCGTCGCATCATACACAAGCTGCATAAAATACAAAAATCAGGTTTTCACAGAAAAGCTCAGGGTCGCACTATGCATGAAGTAGACTTATACACGAGTATATAATTTTCCGCATTAATCAGTGAGATTGAACTCAAATCTACCAGGAAATCACTTTAATCCACAAGGACATGTGTCTTAGAAACCATACAGTATTGTCATTTTGAAATCTTATACTTAATGTCTGTATTCAAGTGATGGAATTTTCCAATGTCTTTCAGTAAATAACTGTTTCCGAGAAAGTGTTTATATCTACGCTAGGTCAACTGAGAAATTAATCAAACCTAATGTATGTCTTTCAGCAAATCATATTTCAAGATGGTTTTTTATCTCTACACTAGGTGTACTGAGTAAGTAGTCAAACTTAATGCTTGTATTCAGGTGCTGGAATTTTTCGAGGTCTTATATTTATAAATCAAAGGTGCTAGGATAGTGATCGCTAAGCTAGATCTACTGACAAAAGTAATTAGAGCTTAACATGGACGCTAATCTTTTTTCAGTCTTTTTATTCCCTAGTGTTGTTCTCTTCTATGATGTCGACTTAACTCCACAGGAATAGATAACACCTTTTATTGTCTATACTTGACCATTCATGATTGAATTCAAAGTTTCTGCCCGAACTTTAAGCTTCTTTATCTTTCGAGGGTAGCTAGTTTCGTCGTTGTATTCCTTATCAAAGCAACATAACAAGGAATACACACAATTTTTGGTAATGTTTTCTTCTAAGGTGGGCTTTGTTCGATAGAACTGAACTGTTTTTTAACACCTTCCAGGTGGACTCCAGATTGTCTGTCTTCTAGCGCATTGTAAATAGTTTATGATAAATTTTTGATTGAATAAAGGGTTCGATCAAAACTTCTGAGGAGGTTACCAAGTACGACGGAGAAGGCCGGAGGATTGAAAGGCCAAAACGTTCAGATTATACCCCCATGTCAAAGATTCCAACATAAAAAGATCATATATTTATATAAATTATTTTCTCTGCTTAGGCATGAATTTTTCAGCTAAACTATCATTTCATTATGAAAAAAATCTTCCCATTTTGGTTCGATGCATTCTACAAAAATCATTTTCG